TGAGAAAAAACCTGGTAACACATCTGGAGAGAAGGGACTTCGTGACAAATCGCCAACATGGATTCATGGAGGGTAAATCTTGTCTTACAGGCTTGATAGAATTCTACGATCAGGTGACACAGATTAAGCAAGAAAGAGAGGGCTGGGCGGACTGCATTTTCTTGGATTGTCGGAAAGCCTTTGACACAGTACCGCATAAGAGGCTGGAACATAAGCTGGAGAGACAGGCAGGTGTAGCTGGTAAGGTGCACCAGTGGATAAGGGAGTATCTAAGCAATAGGAAGCAGAGAGTTACGGTGAGGGGTGAGACCTCCGATTGGCGTGAAGTCACCAGTGGAGTCCCACAGGGCTCTGTACTCGGTCCTATCTTGTTTCTGATATATGTAAATGATCTCCCGGAGGGTATCGATTCATTTCTCTCAATGTTTGCGGACGATGCTAAAATTATGAGAAGGATTAAAACAGAAGAGGACTGTTTGAGGCTTCAAGAAGACCTAGACAAGCTGAAGGAATGGTCGAACAAATGTTTGTTAGAGTTTAACCCAACCAAATGTAATGTAATGAAGATAGGTGTAGGGAGCAGGAGGCCAGATACAAAGTATCATCTGGGAGAGGAAATTCTTCAGGAGTCAGAGAAGGAAAAAGACTTGGGGGTTGATATCACGCCAGACCTGTCTCCTGCAGCACATATCAAGCGGATAACATCAGCGGCATATGCCAGGCTGGCCAACATACGAACGGCATTCAGAAACTTGTGTAAAGAATCATTCAGAACTTTGTATACCACATATGTCAGGCCAATCCTGGAGTATGCAGCCCCAGCATGGAGTCCATATCTAGTCAAGGATAAGACTAAACTGGAAAAGGTTCAAAGGTTTGCCACCAGACTAGTACCCGAGCTGAGAGGTATGAGCTACGAGGAGAGACTACGGGAATTAAACCTCACTTCGCTGGAAGACAGAAGAGTTAGGGGGGACATGATCACCACATTCAAGATTCTGAAGGGGGATTGATAGGGTAGATAAAGACAGTCTATTTAACACAAGGGGAACACGCACAAGGGGACACAGGTGGAAACTGAGTGCCCAAATGAGCCACAGAGATATTAGAAAGAACTTTTTTAGTGTCAGAGTGGTTGACAAATGGAATGCATTAGGGGGTGATGTGGTGGAGGCTGACTCCATACACAGTTTCAAGTGTAGATATGACAGAGCCCGATAGGCTCAGGAATCTGTACACCTGTTGATTGACGGTTGAGAGGGGGGACCAAAGAGCCAGAGCTCAACCCCCGCAAACACAACTAGGTGAGTACAACTAGGTGAGTACACACACACACACACACACACACACACACACACACACACACACACACACACACACACACACACACACACACATGTGTCAGAGTGATTGACAAATGGAATGCATTAGGAAGTGATGTGGTGGAGGCTGACTCCATACACAGTTTCAAGTGTAGATATGACAGAGCCCGATAGGCTCATGAATCTGTACACCTGTTGATTGACGGTTGAGAGGCGGGACCAAAGAGCCAGAGCTCAACCCCCGCAAACACAACTAGGTGAGTACAACTAGGTGAGTACACACACACACACACACACACACACACACACACACACACACACACACACACCTGTTGATTGACGGTTGAGAGGCGGGACCAAAGAGCCAGAGCTCAACCCCCGCAAACACAACTAGGTGAGTACACACACGAGACTGGACCTAGTCTTCACTCTGAACGACTCCGACATAAGAGAAATCGGTTTTGAGGCCCCAGTAGGAATGAGCGACCACAGTGTACTGGTGTTCGAGTACCTGATTGAAGAAGGGTTATTGAACACGAGGAGGAATACCGAAAACAGAAGGTTAGCATACCGAAAGGGGAACTATGAGGAGATAAGAAAATTCCTAACAGATAAAGCATGGAAAACAGAGCTCAGGGGAAAGACGGCCCAAGACATGATGGACTACATCACGCAGAAGTGCAAGGACGCAGCAAATAAGTTTGTCCCAGTTCAAAAGGAAAACAGTGTAATGAAGATGAGAAACCCATGGTTAAATCAGAGATGTAGGCTAGCTAAGCAGCAAAGTAAAAGGGCATGGAGAAACTATAGGAATAACAGGACACTGAAGAGCAGAGAAAGATACCAGAATGCCAGGAATGAATATGGCAGAAAGACAATACGAAAATGACATCGCAAGCAGGGCAAAGGCTCAGCCTAAATTGCTGCATAGCCACATCAGGAGAACAAAAACAGTAAAGGAACAGGTTATGAAACTAAGGATAGGGGCAGAAGGAGTCACTACAAACGACAAGGAAGTGTGTGAGGAACTGAATAAGAAATTCCAGGTCTTCATCTTAGAGCAAGGAAAAATTCCAGAGATAAGAGAGAGAATAGCTAACCAGGAACCACTGGAAGAGTTTGAGATTACCAGCGGGGAAGTAAGGAAGTGTTTACTAGAGTTGGATGTGACAAAGGCTATAGTCCCAGATGGAATCTCCCCTTGGATACTAAAGGAAGGAGCAGAAGAACTGTGCCTACCACTCTCCATAGTGTATAACAAATCACTGGCAACAGGGGAACTGCCAGATATTTGGAAAGCAGTTAACGTAGTCCCGATATACAAGAAAGGGGATAGACAGGAGGCACTGAAATACAGGCCTGTGTCCCTAACCTGCATACCATGCAAGCTGATGAAGAAGATTGTGTGAAGAAAGCTAATGGAACAACTGGAGCGAAAGAACTTTGTAACAGCATCAACATGGATTCAGGGAGGGCAGGTCCTGCCTCACAGGGTTACTTGAATTATACGACCAGGCAACAAAAATAAGGCAAGAACAAGAGGCTAGTGAAAAAGCTGGAGATGCAGGCTGGAGTGAAAGGGAAGGTACTCCATTGGAAAAAGGAGTACCTAAGCAACAGGAGACAACGAGTCAGTGTGAGGGGTGAGGTCTCAGATTGGCGAGACGTTACTAGTGGAGTTCCGCAGGGGTCAGTCCTTGGACCTATACTGTTTCTGATATATGTAAATGATCTCCCAGAGGGTATAGACTCGTTTTTCTCAATGTTTGCTGATGATGCAAAAATTATGAGGATGATTGAAACAGAGGATGATAGTAGGAGGCTACAAGATGATCTAGACAGACTGAGAGAATGGTCGAACAAATGGCTGTTGAAGTTCGACCCGAGTAAATGCAAAGAAATGAAACTAGGCAGTGGAAACAGGAGGCCAGACACAGACAGAATAGGAGATGAAGTACTTAATGAAACGCACAGAGAGAAAGATCTAGGAGTTGATATCACACCAAACCTGTTTCCTGAAGCCCACATAAAAAGAATAACGTCTGCGGCATATGCGAGGCTGGCCAACATCAGATCAGCGTTCAGGAACCTGTGTAAGGAATCATTCAGAATCTTGTACACCACATATGTAAGACCAATCCTGGAGTATGCAGCCCCAACATGGAGCCCGTACCTTATAAAGCGCAAGACGAAGCTGGAAAAAAGTCCAAAGGTATGCCACTAGACTAGTCCCAGAACTAAGAGGCATGAGATACGAGGAAAGGCTGCGGGAAATGCACCTTACGACACTGGAAGACAGAAGAGTAAGGGGAGACATGATCACAACCTACAAAATCCTCAGCGGAATCGACCGGGTAAACAAGGATAAACTGTTCAACACTAGTGGTACGCGAACAAGGGAACACAGGTGGAAACCGAATACCCACATGAGCCACAGGGATGTTAGAAGGAACTTTTTCAGTGTCAGAGTAGTTAATGGATGGAATGCATTAGGCAGTGATGTGGTGGAAGCTGACTCCATACACAGTTTCTAATGTAGATATGATAGAGCCCAGTAGGCTCAGGAATCTGTACACGAGTTGATTGACAGTTGTGTGTGTGTGTGTGTGTGTGTGTGTGTGTGTGTGTGTGTGTGTACTCACCTAGTTGTACTCAACTAGTTGTGTCTGCAGGATCGAGCATTGACTCTTGGATCCCGCCTTTCGAGCATCGGTTGTTTACAGCAATGACTCCTGTCCCATTTCCCTATCATACCTGGTTTTAAAATTATGAACAGTATTTGCATCCACAACCTGTTCCTGAAGTGCATTCCATTTCCCCACTACTCTCACGCTAAAAGAAAACTTCCTAACATCTCTGTGACTCATCTGAGTTTCAAGCTTCCATCCATGTCCTCTCGTTCTGTTATTATTCCGTGTGAACATTTCGTCTATGTCCACTCTGTCAATCCCTCTGAGTATCTTATACGTTCCTATCATGTCCCCCCTCTCCCTTCTTCTTTCTAGTGTCGTAAGGCACAGTTCCCTCAGGCGCTCCTCATACCCCTGTGTGTGTGTGTGTGTGTGTGTGTGTGTGTGTGTGTGTGTGTGTGTGTGTGTGTGTGTGTGTGTGTGTGTGTGTGTGTGTGTGCATGCATGCGTGTATCAGCAGCCTAATATAATCGGCGTAAGTCGATTTACCAGAGAAGTCTGGTTCTGACATATTATTGTCAGAGGAGGTTCCTATACACACACAACTTTCCCCTGGGAGTCCTCCAGCCGAGATGTCTGAGAACACCATCCTGGTGATCCTGTAGACGATCCGGTCGACACCTTACAGTCCCGGCCGTAACAACGAGAGTGTTCTTGTGAGTTAACCCATGCTTTCTTGAGACCCACATCTCTCACGCGTGTCACTGCAAGATGGCATTACATTCAAGTATTTGTTCTGCTTCTTACCATGCGTGTTCGCCCAATATTAAATGCGGAATTCCTGCCATGCGACTCTCTGGATATATTGGCAACATGTCCTGGAATTTAGGTGATTATATGGAAAGTAAATCACGGGGAATAGAGGTTATCTTGGACAGGAATGCGGCAACGAGATGTGGGTGATGGATCTCCTTCCTCACACCATCGTCTTAACTAGACCACTTTTTTGCGCTAACACTATTGTTGAGATTCGTTGCAAATATTGATATTAGCGTCTGGCGATGTAGCGTCTGGCGATGGCCCGTCTGGCAGTAAATTGTGATGACAGACACGCAGCCAGCACGATGGAGACGGCCTTCCTGGGGTCCATGAATCTGTTGGTCATTCAAATATGCGTCAACGGTATGTATTTAGTACGTCATCTTAATTCAACATGATTTGTCGCTCACGACTTTTGTAGCGCATTAACAAGTAGCTCACGGCTTTTGCAGCGCATTAACAAGTAGCTCACGGCTTTTGTAGCGCATTAACAAGTAGCTCACGACTTTTGTAGCGCATTAACAAGTAGCTCACGACTTTTGTAGGGCATTAACAAGTAGCTCACGACTTTTGTAGCGCATTAACAAGTAGCTCACGACTTTTGTAGGGCATTAACAAGTAGCTCACGACTTTTGTAGCGCATTAACAAGTAGCTCACGACTTTTGTGGCGCATTAACAAGTAGCTCACGACTTTTGTAGCGCATTAACAAGTAGCTCACGACTTTTGTGGCGCATTAACAAGTAGCTCACGACTTTTGTAGCGCATTAACAAGTAGCTCACGACTTTTGTAGCGCATTAACAAGTAGCTCACGGCTTTTGTAGGGCATTAACAAGTAGCTCACGACTTTTGTAGCGCATTAACAAGTAGCTCACGACTTTTGTGGCGCATTAACAAGTAGCTCACGACTTTTGTAGCGCATAAATAAGTAGCTCACGACTTTTGTAATGCAGGACCTTGTAGCACAGGACGATGTAGCACAGGACCTAGTAGCACATGACTTTGTAGCACATGACCTTGTAGCACAGGACCTTGTACCACAGGACTTGTAGCACAGGACCATGTAGCACATGACCTTCTAGAACATGACCTTATAACACATGACCTTCTAGCACAGGACCCTGTAGCACAGGACTTTGTAGCAAAGGACTTTGTAGCACAAGACCTGTAGCACAGGACCTTGTAGCACAGGACCTTGTAGCACAGGACCTAGTAGCACATGACTTTGTAACACAGGACCTTGTAGCACATGCCCTTGTAGCACAGGACCTGTAGCACAGGACCATGTTGCACATGACCTTGTAGCAAAGGACCTTGTAGCACAAGACCTGTAGCACAGGACCTTGTAAAACAGGACCTTGTAGCACATTCCCTTGTAGCACAGGACCTTGTAGCACAGGACCTTGCAGCACATGACCTTGTAGCACATGACCTTGTAGCACATGACCATGTAGCACAGGACCTTGTAGCAAAGGACCTTGTAGCACATGACCTTCCAGAACATGACCTTATAACACATGACCTTCTAGCACAGGACCTTGTAGCACAGGACTTTGTAGCAAAGGACTTTGTAGCACACGACCTGTAGCACAGAATCTTGTAAAACTGGACCTTGTAGCACAGGACCTTGTAGCACAGGACCTTGTAGCACAGGACCTTATAGCACATGACCTTATAGCACATGACCTTGTAGCACATGACCATGTAGCACAGGACCTTGTAGCAAAGGACCTTGTAGCACAAGACCTGTAGCACAGGACCTTGTAAAACAGGACCTTGTAGCACATTCCCTTGTAGCACAGGACCTTGTAGCACAGGACCTTGTACCACAGGACTTGTAGCACAGGACCATGTAGCACATGACCTTCTAGAACATGACCTTTTAACACATGACCTTGTAGCACAGGACCTTGTAGCACAGGACTTTGTAGCAAAGGACTTTGTAGCACAAGACCTGTAGCACAGAACCTTGTAAAACTGGACCTTGTAGCACAGGACCTTGTAGCACAGGACCTTGTAGCACAGGACCTTGTAGCACAGGACCTTACAGCACAGGACCTTGTAGCACATGACCTTGTAGCAAGGGACCTTGTAGCACAGGAATTTGTAGCACGGACCTTGTACCACAGGATCTTGTAGCAAGGGACCTTGTAGTACAGGACCTTGTAGCAAGGGACCTTGTAGAAAGGGACCTTGTAGCACAAGACCTGTAGCACAAGAACTGTAGCACATGACCTTCAAGCACATGAATTTCTAGCACATAACCTTGTAGCACAGGACCTTGTAGCACAGGACCATGTAGCACATGACCTTGTAGCACAGGACCTTGTAGCACAGGACCTTGTAACTCAGGACCTTGTAGCACATGCCTTTGTAGCACAGGACCTTGTATCACAGGATTTGTAGCAGAGGACCATGTAGCACAGGACCTTGTAGCACAGGACCTTGTTGCACAGGACTTGTAGCACAGGACCATGTAGCACATGACCTTGTAGCACAGGACCTGTAGCAGAGGACCTTGTAACACAGGACCTTGTAGCACATGCCCTTGTAGCACAGGACCTTGTAGCACAGGACCTGTAGCACAGGACCATGTTGCACATGATCTTGTAGCACACGACCTTGTAGTGCAGGACCTTATAGCACATGACCTTGTAGCACAGGACCTTGTAGCACAGGACCTTGTAGCACATGACCTTGTAGCACATGACCTTGTAGCACACGCCCTTGTAGCAAAGGACCTAGTAGCACAAGACCTGTAGCACAGGACCTTGTAACACACGACCTTGTATCACATTCCCTTGTGGCACTGGACCTTGTAGCACATGACCTTGTACCACAGGACTTGTAGCAAAGGACCATGTAGCACATGACCTTCTTGCACATGACCTTCTAACAAATGACCTTCTAGCACAGGACCTTGTAAAACTGGACCTTGTAGCACATGTCCTTGTAACACAGGACCTTGTAGCACAGGATCTTGTATCACAGGACCTTGTAGCACAGGACCTTGTAGCAAGGGACCTTGTAGCACGAGACCTTGTAGCACAGGACCTTGTAGCACATGACCTTCAAGCACATGACCTTCTAGCACATTACCTTCTAGCACATAACCTTGAAGCACAGGACCTTGTAGCACAGGACCTTATGGCACAGGAACATGTAGCACAGGACCTTGTAGCAAGGGGACCTTGTAGCACAGGACTTGTAGCACAGGACCATGTAGAACATAACCTTCTACCACATGACCTTCTAGTACATGACCTTCTAGCACATGACCTTGTAGCACATGACCTTGTAGCAAGGGACCTTGTTGCACATGACATTGTAACACATGTTCTGGTAGCACAGGACCTTGTAGCGCAAGACCGTGAAACACATGGCCTTGCAACACAAAGCCTTGTAGCACATGACCTTGTAGCACTTGACCTTGTAGTGCAGGACCTTGTAGCATAGGACCTTGTAGCACATGACCTTGTAGCAAAGAACCTGAGCACAGAACTTTGTAGCACAGGACTTTGTAGCACAGGACCTTGTAGCACATGACCATGTAGCACAGGACCTTGTAACACCTGATCTTGTAGCACAGGACCTTGTAGCACAGGACATTGTTGCATAGGACCTTGTAGCACATGGCCTTGTAGCACAAGACCTTGTAGCACAGGACCTTTTAGCACAGGACCTTGTAGCACATGGCCTTGTAGCACATGACCTTGTAGCAAAGAACCTTGAACACAGAACCTTGTAGCACAGGATCTTGTAGCACGGGGCCGTGTAGTACATGACCTTGTTGCACAGGATCTTGTTGCACAGGACCTTGCAGCACAAGACCTTGTTGCACAGGACCTTGTAGCACAGGACCTTGTAGCAAAGAACCTTGAGCACAGAACCTTGTAGCACAGGATCTTGTAGCATGGGACCATGTAGTACATGACCTTGTTGCACAGGATCTTGTTGCACAGGACCTTGCAGCACAAGACCTTGTTGCACAGGACCTTGTAGCACAGGACCTTGTAGCACAGGATCTTGTTGCACAGGACCTTGTAGCATTGGATCTTGTTGCACAGGACTTTGCAGCACAGGACCTTGTAGCAAAGAACTTTGAGCACAGAACCTTGTAGCACAGGATATGTTAGCACAGGACTTTGTAGCACAGGCCCTTATAACACATGACCTTGTAGCACAGGACCTTGTAGCACAAGACCTTGTAGCACATGACCTTGTAGCACAGGATATTAAAGCACAGGACCTTGTAGCACAGGACCTTGTAGCACAAGACCTGTAGCACAGGACATTGTAACACAGGACCTTGTATAACATGAAATTGTAGTACAGGACCTTGTAGCACAGGACCTTGTAGCACATGTCCTTGTAGCACAGGAACTTGTGGCACAGGACCTTGAAGCACAGGAACTTGTAGCACAGGACCTTGTTGCACATGACCTTGTAGCTCAGGATATTGTAGAACAGGGCCTTGAAGCACAGGATCTTGTAGCACATGACCTTGTAGCACATGACCTTGTAGCACAGGACCTTGTTGCACATGACCTTGTAGAATAGGACCTTGTAGCACAGGACCTTGTAGCACAGGACCTTGTAGCTCAGGATCTTGTAGAACAGGGCCTTGAAGCACAGGATCTTGTAGCACATGACCTTGTAGCACATGTCCTTGTAGCACATGACCGTATATCACAGGACCTTGTAGCACAGTACCTTGTAGCACATGACCTTGTAGCACATGTCCTTGTAGAACAGGACCTTGTAGCACAGGGCTTTGTAGCATAGGACCTTGTAACACATGACCTTGTAACACAGGACCTTGTAGCACAGGACCTTGGAGCGCATGACCGTATAGTGGAGGACCTTGTAGCACATGACTTTGTAGCACATGACCTTGTAGCACAGGACCTTAATTGTAGCACATGACCTTGTAGCACAGGACCTTATCGCACATGACCTTGTAGCACAGGACTTTGCAGCACATGACCTTGTAGCACAGGATATTGTAGCACATAACCTTGTAGCACACGACCTTGTAGCACATGTCCTTGTAGTACATAACCTTATATCACAGGACCTTGTAGCACAGTACCTTGTAGCACATGACCTTGTAGCACATGTCCTTGTAGAACAGGGCCTTGTAGCACAGGACCATGTAGCCCAGCACCTTGTAACACCTGACCTTGTAACACAGGACCTTGTATAACATGAAATTGTAGTACAGGACCTTGTAGCACATGACATTGTTACACATGTCCTTGTAGCACAGGACCTTGTAGCACAAGACGTTGAAGCACAGGACCTTGTAGCACATGACTTTGTAGCACAGGACCTTGCAGCACAGGATCTTGTAGCACTTGACCTTGTTTCACATGACCTTGTAGCACATGACCTTGTAGCACAGGACCTTGTAGCACATGACCTTGTAGCACAGGGCCTTGTAGCACAGGACCATGTAGCACAGGACCTTGTAACACAGGACCTTGTAGCATATGACCTTGTAGCACATAATTTTGTAGCACAGTAACTTGCAGCACATGACCTTATAGCACATGACCTTGTAGCACATGACAATGTAGCACAGGACCGTGTAGCACATGACCTTATAGCACATGACTTTGTAGCACATAATTTTGTAGCACAGGAACTTGCAGCACATGACCTTATAGCACATGACCGTGTAGCACATGACCTTATAGCACATGACCTTGTAGCTCATGACCTTGTAGCACAGGACCTTGTAGCACATGACCTTATAGCACAGGACCTTGTAGCACATGACCTGATAGCACAGGACCTTGTAGCACAGGACCGTGTAGCACATGACCTTATAGCACAGGACCTTGTAGCACATGACCATGTAGCACTTGACCTTTTAGCACAAGACCTTGTAGCACAGGACCTTGTATGGCAGGACCTTGTAGCGAAGGACTTTGTTGCATAGGACCTTGTAGCACAGGACCATGAAGCACATGAATTTGTAGCACAGGACCTTGTAGCACAGGAACTTATAGAACAGGTCCTTGCAGCACAGGTGCTTGTAGCATAGGAACATGCAACACATGACCTTCTAGCACAGGACCTTTTAGCTCAGGAACTTGTAGCACAGGACCTTGTAGCAGAGGGCCTTGTAGCACAGGACCTTGTAACACATCACCTTGTAGCACAGGACCTTTTAGCTCAGGAACTTGTAGCACAGGACCTTGTAGCAGAGGGCCTTGTAGCACAGGACCTTGTAGCACAGGACCTTATAGTGCAGGACCTTTTAGAGAAGGACCTTCTAGCCCCTAGTAACACAGGACCTTGTAGCACATGACCTTGCTTGATCTTGTAACACATGACCTTGTAGCACATGACCTTCTAGCACATGACCTTGTTGCACAGGACCTTGTAGTACATGACCTTATGACACATGACCTTGTAACACATGACCTTGTAACACATGACCTTGTAACACATGACCTTGTAACACATGACCTTTTAGTACATGATTTTGTAACACATGACGTTGTTGCATATGACCTTCTAGCTCAGGACCTTGTAGTATATGACTTTGTAGCCCTTGATTTTATAGCACAGGTCCTTTTAGCACATGCCCTTGTGGCGCTGGTCCTTGCAGCACCTGACCTTGTAGCACTTGTCCTTGTAGCACATGACCTTGTAGCACTTGTCCTTGTAGCACAGGACCTTGCAGCACATAACTTTGTAGCACAATACCTTTTAGCACAGGACCTTGCAGCACATGACCTTCTATCACATGGCCTTGTATCACAGGACCTTGTTGCACAGGAACTTGTAGCACAGGATCTTGTAGCACAGGACCTTGTAGGGCAGGACTTTGTAGCTCAGGACTTTCCAGCCCAGGACCATGTCGCACATCACCTTGTAACACATGACCTTGTAACACATGACCTTTTAGCACATTGCCTTGTAGCATTTGACCTTGTAGCACATGGCCTTGTAGCGCACATGACCTTGCAACACATGATCTTTTAACACATGACCTTTTAACGCATGAGTTTGTAGCGCATGACCTTGTAACACTTGACCTTGTAACTCATGACCTTGTAGCACAGAATCTTGTAGTGCATGACCTTGTAGAGCATGACCTTGTAGTGCCTGACCTTGTAGAGAATGATCTTGTAGCACAGAACCTTGTAGCACCTGACCTTGTAACACAGGACCTTGTTGTGAGTGACTTTTTATGGTATGGTCTCAAAGATCATACATATTATGATCACTTCCTCTACTACAGAACACAGTTATTATGATCACTTCCTCTACTACAGAACACAGTTATTATGATCACTTCCTGTACTACAGAACACAGTTATTATGATCACTTCCTGTACTACAGAACACAGTTATTATGATCACTTCCTGTACTACAGAACACAGTTATTATGATCACTTCCTGTACTACAGAACATATGTGTTATGATCACTTCCTGTACTACAGAACACAGTTATTATGATCACTTCCTGTACTACAGAACACAGTTATTATGATCACTTCCTGTACTACAGAACACAGTTATTATGATCACTTCCTGTACTACAGAACATAGTTATTATGATCACTTCCTGTACTACAGAACACAGTTATTATGATCACTTCCTGTACTACAGAACACAGTTATTATGATCACTTCCTGTACTACAGAACATATGTGTTATGATCACTTCCTGTACTACAGAACATATTTATTATGATCACTTTCTGTACTACAGAACATAGTTATTATGATCACTTTCTGTACTACAGAACATATGTGTTATGATCACTTTCTGTACTACAGAACATATTTATTATGATCACTTTCTGTACTACAGAACATAGTTATTATGATCACTTTCTGTACTACAGAACATAGGTGTTATGATCACTTCCTGTACTACAGAACATATGTGTTATGATCACTTCCTGTACTACAGAACATATGTGTCATGATCACTTCCTGTACTACAGAACATAGGTATTATGATCACTTCCTGTACTACAGAACATAGGTATTATGATCACTTTCTGTACTACAGAACATAGGTATTATGATCACTTCCTGTACTACAGAACATAGGTGTTATGATCACTTTCTGTACTACAGAACATAGGTGTTATGATCACTTCCTGTACTACAGAACATATGTGTTATGATCACTTCCTGTACTACAGAACATATGTGTCATGATCACTTCCTGTACTACAGAACATAGGTATTATGATCACTTTCTGTACTACAGAACATAGTTATTATGATCACTTTCTGTACTACAGAACATATGTGTCATGATCACTTCCTGTACTACAGAACATATGTGTTATGATCACTTCCTGTACTACAGAACATAGTTATTATGATCACTTCCTGTACTACAGAACATCGGTATTATGATCACTTCCTGTACAATGGATCATTCAAAAGTAAGAGATAAGTGATTGCTCAAGATATTAATGTCAGTCTTGGGCCAGAATGTGTTAACACAGTTGACAGTGTGTGAGATGTATGGTCACTACAGTCTATAGTGGTGCTCCTGTGTGAGATGTTTGGTCACTACAGTCTATAGTGGTGCTCCTGTGTGAGATGTATGGTCACTACAGTCTATAGTGGTGCTCCTGTGTGAAATGTATGGTCACTACAGTCTATAGTGGTGCTCCTGTGTAAGATTTTGTGTTGCATTGATCACTGGTCAATATGTGATCTTATTGCCAGCCGAGTGTTGCACCTGTCACAGCCTCCGGTTATTGACAGGTGAGTGACGCGCCAACCATTGGCAGTCGTTATTACAAGCCAGGTGATGCACTTCGCTCCGGCACCGGTATTGACAGGTGTAAGTGTTGACAGGTGTAAGTGTTGACAGGTGTAAGTGTTGCACTTGTCACTACTTCCTTTATTGTCAGATAAGTGGGATGGCGCTTCCTCTGGCGCTGTCACCTGGGAGTTACTCCTGACAGGCGTGTGTCTCCGGGTGCTGGAGGACAGGTGGTACGAGGCGGCCAGAGGGTGACGCTGAGACAGATGATTCAGGCGTGAATGACACGATCCAGAGTACAGCTTCAATGGCTTCACTAAAATAACACATCTAAGTAAATATGGATTGATGAGTCAAACGAAGATTTGGGAAATATAGGGAAATTCTTAAGCCAAAAATTCAATGGTGGTTGATTTGTAAACATCAGATGTTTAACTGAAGCTTCACCAACAGTTTGTAGTTCAATAAAAAAACAAGAATAAATTAATCCCCGCATCAACAGAATTTTTGTTGTGAGTGTTTGTTTCGGGGATGGTGATTTGGGGGGGGGGGGCATCCCTGCCACCCTCCACCATCCCAGACACCCTCCACCATCCTCCACCACCCGTGTCATCCTCCACCATCCTCTTCCATCCCTGTCACCCTCCACCATCCTCCTCCACCCCTGTCACCCTCCACCATCCTCCTCCACCCCTGTCACCCTCCACCATCCTCCTCCACCCCTGTCACCCTCACACCATCCTCCTCCATCCCTGACTTCCTCCACAATCTCCACTCCATCCTACCCACCTCCACCATGCTCTCTATCCTTGCCTATCTAGAGAAAGTAAATTTAGCTCCTCCAGTCACTCTAATAGAATGTTTCTCTTAACTCTTCACATTTCTAAAGACTTTAAATTGTTTTTTGTACAAATTCACTAGTATCATATCATCCCTGTTTCTTCCATCGATTTTTAATATAGCTAGATCGCAAACCTGTTTTGAATATTTCCATATTTAAGATAAAATGTCGTTCTGAGATACAATAATTTAGCACATTTTCACAAAAACTCACATCCACACAAAATCACACTGAAAGGCTCATGAAATAAATGGGTCTCTAGGAGCAGATTCCAACTGAGCTGAGGTAGGATTACAGCTCTTGCTTGCAGTTTCACACAGGTTCCTTATATGATAATTCCTTTATGAAAGTTCCCTCGGTGATAGTTGCAAGGTACATTCTCATGAAATAAGTGAGTCTCTAGGGGCAAGTTCCAGATGAGCGTAGGTAGGATAAGAACTCGACAAAGAGAGAGAGAGAGAGAGAGAGAGAGAGAGAGAGAGAGAGAGCGAGAGAGAGAGAAAGAGAGAGAGAGAGAGAGAGAGAGAGAGAGAGAGAGAGAGAGAGAGAGAGAGAGAGAGAGAGAGAGAGAGAGAGAGAGAGAGAGAGAGAGAGATTGAGAGAGAGAGAGAGAGAGAGAGAGAGAGAGAGAGAGAGAGAGAGAGAGAGAGAGAGAGAGAGAGAGAGAGAGAGAGACAGACAGACAGACAGACAGACAGACAGAGAGCAAGGGGGGGGGGGAGATAGCATTAGTTGACCACCATTCATCGTGTCCACAATTACACGCGTTTTCAGCGACTACTCCCGTGTGTATACTCCAACAAGTGTATACTCCACCAGCACTTGGAGTATACACTACTCCCGTGTGTATACTCCACCAGCACTTGCTGGTATATACACCAGCAAGTGCTCCCTGGTGTATACACCAGCAAGTGCTCCCTGGTGGATATACCAGCAAGTGTTCCCTGGTGGATATACCAGCAAGTGTTCCCTGGTGGATATACCAGCAAGTGTTCCCTGGTGGATATACCAGCAAGTGTTCCCTGGTGTATACACCAGCAAGTGCTCCCTGGTGGATATACCAGCAAGTGTTCCCTGGTGGATATACCAGCAAGTGTTCCCTGGTGGATATACCAGCAAGTGTTCCCTGGTGGATATACCAGCAAGTGTTCCCTGGTGGATATACCAGCAAGTGTTCCCTGGTGGATATACCAGCAAGTGCTCAAGCAAGTGCTCCCTGGTGTATACACAAGCAAGTGCTCCCTGGTGGATATACCAGCAAGTGCTCC